AAAGCGCTGTTTGCTGAACAGTGGAGCTGATACAGCTGCCTGTACCTCCAAGGCTACCACTGCACCAGCCGTCCTGTCTGAAGGAGCTGAAGCTGGAACCACAGAAACGGCTGACAATGACGTAAGTGTGTTCACTGCATTTACATCCATCTCCCCAAAATAGGTCATTTTACAGTTGTTTGCTCAGTTACTTGACCTTTGAATGCAAGCGAGGCTGGACCTGACCTTGCTTTGAAACAGACCTCTCTGCTTTTCTCATTCAAATGCCAACTTGTTAGCATGAGAGCAACTTGATTTACACAACAAACACAGTCTGTATCAAAACAAGGTCACCTGCAGCTTCGCTGCCATTCAGAGGCCAGGTCACGGAGCAAACGACTGTAAAACGGTCTATTTTTGACCACAATGAATTGTCCTTGTTTATGCTGTCAGCTCTGATGTTGTTAACATAAAACTAATTATGTGAAATCGCAAACCGATCGCTCGGTCAATACGAGATCCGAGGTTTGAGATTTTCCCGTAAAGACCGAACGTTCGAGGTTAATAAGTTGTTTATGATCAGGCATTTTGTTCCTGCAGGCCCACAATCGGCCCGTGGGCATTACAAGAGAGGAATGCCCTAGAATTAGCCAATCAGAGTGCGCGTTATTTCGGTCACAAAAACAATCCATATCACAATTATTATTATTATTGTTGTCTTCACCGACAATAATCAAATTATATATATATATATTTTGCAATTATTAGACGATCAAAATCAAAGCCGAGGGTATCCCAGCTCCAAACTCTGGTGCAGAGAGTCCAGACACCATGGGGTACGTGCATTACTACCTAAGCACGGCTTATCAGCTCTTGTGTGGTGCCATGAAGCGAGACCCAGCTGGTACCCTTCCTGCCGTGGAAAGCGTCATCCAGCAGTCTCAGGTAAGAGGAGCAGTTATGGTTGGTTATTATGGGTGAGACTAGTTCTGAAAAGACCTGTTGTTGCTGACTGGCGTTTCGTCAACCTGAGATGAAGTCATCGTCAGAGTCAAGTGAATAGTGTTTGTCAGTCGAGGGTGTTGTAGGTCTGGTCCGTTAAAAGTGAATGGTCCGTTTTAGCCGTGATGGTATAGGAGAATCTTTGTTTACAATATTTGCCTCATTACCATAAGCGATACAGTTTCCGATGGAACTACAAAGAGATTAATACTGAATATTGAAAGGGCACAGCACGATTAACTGTCCCAAGGAATTTGAGCGCGATGTATTGAATACTTGTTGTGCGACAAGGGTTTAAAAGCTCAAAATTTTACAAAGAATGTCTGAGCTCATTAGCGCTTTTGCCACACGGAAATTTTGATGTTTTTGAAAGCCAATTTCTCCTCGAATATTATACCCAAAGAGCCAAAACTTTCACCACTTACTAAGTTTCACAAGCTCTTTAAGTTTTTCTAGTAAAATCGTGTCTAGCGTGATGTCCTCTCTGCGCAAAGTCGTATGTTAATGAGGGAAAATGTGAACAATGACGTCAGCAAAGATTCGCCTATTGACGGATGTGGTGTCCCTGCTGAGAACTTTAAAATTGAATTTTACAAAGATGAGCATCGCTTTTGAGAAAGTTGAACATTCTGTTTTGTTGAAGTGACCAAGTCGAGTTTGATTCCTGTTAAGTTGAACGTTGTGTTGTAAAGTCCGTTAGTGATAACTATAAAGTTGGATTTTGAGCCAATAGTCCAATGTCCCGAATGCCGATTACTCACCCATTTATACTAAATCACAAAGTCCGGTGCTGTCAATCGTAGTGTTGAACTATAGTTGAATGAGTTAAAAGTTCGATGTCGTTAACTGTATCCTCGTCTCTTGTGTTAAGTTAGATGTGAAATTACAAAGTCTGTAAAGCGTCTGAAGTTGAATGTGGAATTCAGACATTTGATTTTTTTGGGGGCGAAGATGGAATACCAGAAGTGCTCGCCTACTTGTCTGGGTATAAATCTCTTTAGGCTCCAATTTCCGTCGCAGCCGTTACTTGGGTTGTTACGTAATGGGGAGTTTTTTCTTGTTTTCTTTTTTGTGTGTGTGCGGTAGCCCCCCAAAACTTCTGCGAAGACCCCCGCAGGCTCTCTCCCGTGGGGTATTCTCAACTTATTTCGAGATTTTATTTCGAACACATGTCACAAGCTTCGCAATCCCACAAAAGAGCTTACGTTTGACCTTAAGTTCATTAACAAAGTTCCGTTTATAGACAAGTGCAGTGGAAGTTATGTTGTGCAGTTGAATTTACACAGCCGAATGATTCGGTATTTATGCTATGTAAAAATTTGAAGACTCAAATAAACTACTTGAAGTTTATTGTTGTATAGCTATTTCCGCAAAGGATCCTGTACCGAAAATTATCTCGCCAAGACAAGTGCAATGCATGGATATTGTTCCCCTTTTGTGAAGCTGTATACTACATATACTTTAAGAGCAGCTGGGGTGGAAAACATCGAGTTGATACCTAATTTAAAAATAACAATCAAAAGGAAAACAATCCTTGCCATTGCACTTTTCTCAGGACAGGATCATCTGTGGAAATACGGACTTAAAAATGAAGGTCTATAACAATTAAAACAGAAGAGTTTTGCTCGACAGTCTTTCGGGTCCCGGATTATTTGCTGAGTTACAATGCTTCACTGTCAACATTGCGGCGGGTCATAGAGCTGGGAGCAGAACAGCCCCATTAATGGATCATAAATAGCAATTGTCTCAGCGTAAACTGTTACATCCCGTGTTTTGAAAATTATTAAAAATAGAACTATCAGGAAATTTCAAGCTGTATCGTTATTTTGTATTTTTATCGACCCTGCATGTACACTTCCACTTCACACTGTTTATAACAACAAGTTTCCATAAAAGCTCATGGGACGGTTTCCTCTAAACCTGTGAATGTGCAAAGTCCGGTAGAACTGATACATACAGAGCAAAGTTTGTCATCATTTTTTTTTTTAGACAACCAACTGTCATTAATTAGCTTTCTACATGACAAGACAAAAAAGAAACTAAAAAACACTAAACCACGATTAGGTTGACCTAAAAAATTACAAAAACCAAAACGTTGCACATAATGTCACAGGCGAAAATAAATCAAATGCATACGGAGAGTTTTTAACCAAAAGTGATTTGAATGAATAAATCATCTTGTTGAGAAACAAAACCCGTTACAGATCGTCACTGTTGGAAAGTTGCATCAGAAAATCTCTGTCGTGACAAAATTTGTCATGTTGTCAATCTTGATTGGATCATGAGGTCGATCTTGGTTGACATATGAACTTGAATGGCTTCCCGGTTTCGACGAATCCTATTGGTCGACTGGCATCAGGAGATAAACCTAGTAAGCGACATCCCGTGATCTGAGGTGAATAACTTGCCACAATAAATTGGAAATGGGACTATCGTCATGCGAACAGCACGTACAAACTTAGTCTGTTCAGTTTCTGAGGAAGTATCGTTCCTGCTCAAGCGATAACAAAATGTGCAGACCTGCTTCCATTCAAAATACGCTTGATATATAAAGTGTGAGTACTTATCTACCTCCACTTGTAGAAGCGAATGTGTTAAGAGACCCAGTCACGAGTCCGACATGCTGTTTATATTACTGGTAGTTCTTCTGGCAGACGATGGCGCAGGTAAGGAGTCTTAAATGATATTTTGTCTTGCTATTTGTTATTTTCGAGAAAACAATGCGAAATTCCACTTTGCTAGGTGTTGAAGACAGTATCAGAGTGAAAAGGTAGCTTCATACTCTAAACAGTTGTGTATTTACCACGTCTGCAACAACTGCCTGTGTTAGCAAATTATTAGCTTCACCTCTAGGCCCCCAACCCGAGCATCACGCGAAAGGGTTTCATTTTATTGCGAGGGACTTTGAGATGAAAAATGGTGCGGCCAGCGTTCTCTAAAAGAGAAAATACATAACCATTTCAAATTAATGCGTAAAATCTCTGATTTATGGGACTTTTTAGAGCACAACAAGTCATTAACCATATTTTTGAACTTTGTTTGACGTACTGAGGGCTGTACGTTCAATTTTAGCAACTTCACGACATGTAAATTTCTTTCTCTTCTTAACACTGGCGAGTTAGACCTGGAAATAGTGAAAAGCTTGTGTAGTTTTGTTTCAGTTTCATTTGGCTTCATTCATATTTTGCGAGTAGTCTCCGTAAAATTCGTCATTTGATATGTTGTTTTCGCCTTGGTCGCTATGTCCGGGTATATTATGTTGGGTTCTGTCGCACGAATTTGAGAAGCATAGAAAACTGAGAAGAATGTGCGAAAATAATTGGAAACCTGTCACACTTTATCGTAGGAGCAAGGTCCCCAGAAAGGCCAGTTGTTCCGAACATCACAGCTCTCAGCTCAACCGAGGTACGAATCACGTGGTGTCGGGTGAATTCCAACAAAGTGGAAATAGATCATTATGAGCTATTTATAGACACTGAACTGGAGTATTCTGGGATTGATGTGATGTACGTGGCCAAACGGCTTAAGCCATGGTCCTGGTACGAGATCAAGTTGAGAGCATGTGGCTTCTCACCTGGTTCGTGTTCTCCATTCTCAATACCTGCTTTGGTGAAGACCTTGAGAGGCAGTAAGTGTATATCTTGTTCATCATATCAGGCATAGCCTCTTACATAGATATGCTTTCACTTAATGTCGCTAGAGTTTTTACTCCAAGCTTTTGTGACAGGCCAAAAAAAAATATACATCATTTCTTTACATTTTGCTCTAGAAATTGCCAAGCTAATTCCATTTACACTCTGTTGCTTTATAAAATATCTATATAGGTTTTTTGGTCTCAACCCTCTCTCCAAACCAGAGATTCCAGTTTAGTCTCATAATCCTCTTTAAACATTGTGGATTTTTAGACCCCCTTTCCCTCAGAATTTCCAAATATGACCTTATGTTGGGGTGGTACACACATTTGTTGGAACTACATAAAATGAATTCCTACAGGACCAGTAATGCTGCTGCAACCCCTTAGAGCATAAAGCCACTTAGAAATTGTCTCATGATATCCTACAGCCTACAACTATACCTGCAGGATGTTTTAAAATTCATTTAATTGTGATTAATTGCAGAAATTGCAAATTGGTTCTGATGGCGTGGCTCTAAATTTCAATCACCAGCTCTCTTTACATCCTCCCAAATTCTCTCTCTGATAATTTGGAGCTTTCTCTCACTATTTCAGGTGACAACAGTACCGTAATACAGTCTGGTGTGACCCTATTTAAAGTCATCGCTGTTCCTACATACATGTTCATTTTGGGAGTGATAGCTGGAGTGTTGGCCATTTCATTTGTTCTTATATGGAGGTTTGTGATCTTGATACTTAACAACGCACACAAATACATATAAAGAGAATAGACAAGCTTGTGTAGACTTCAGGGCTTGAAAAAAGTGTCATCCGGTCATCTGGGACAAGTAGAATCTCTTTCTGGCAAGTCACTTTTCACTCTCATTTTTTTTTTTTTTTCCACCCTTACTTGCCCTTAGGCAATGGATCAGGGAAGTTGTGTGCCAACTAAATCACTAAAAGAGCAAACTAAGCTTTGCCCAGGGGAAGCAAAATTTTAGAGCTACTTGTCCCAACGGCAAGCTGGAATTCAAGTTTTTTTCAAGTCCTGAAACTTACTCCTCAGGATTTATCTCAACTTTACAGAATAATCTGTTGTTAGTCATCTTTATTTCTGGGTGGAGAGAGAATCATGCTGACTGAGAATATTAGTTTGAACTTAGACTTTGTAATCTGGAGTCTAACATACTAATCGATAGACCACTGTACATACCAAGTGTGTAGTTACACCTTGAAGCTGAGTAGGCAGTAATGCAGCAATATTGACAATTGAAAACAGGATCATCTGGGGATTTTACACCTCCTGTGGGCTAGGGTGGGACCTTGACAAGTTTAAAACCTTTAGGCCAAAGGGAACCTGAAGCTTGTCCAAGGGGGGAATGTGTGCTCATAATCTCAGAAAAGGGCAAACCTCTCATTATCAATACCCCATTATGGTGCTGGCAAATAATACTATTGTTGGGCAGGTTTTCAGAATAGAAAGATGTACACCATCAGACTAAGCCTTGAGCTTGACTACTGGTAGTTAATCCAGAGAAGAACACACTAGGCACTATCCTGCCACACCCACTAGAAGTGTTGCAAAATGGCACCAAATAAAACCACACTCAAACAATAATATTGCAAATTGTTGTGCCTTTTTTTTTCATAGGTACCTTCAATGTGCAGACCTCTCTAGTGGATCAGCATTTGAACTGCCACAGTACCAAAGAGCACTAAACAAAAGTGACTACACTGCCTTGGGTAAACAAAGGCTACCTGACTCAAGATGTGATACTGTGGGAATCCTCTGTGACACACCGTATCTGACTGAAGACTGTCAAGTTCATGATCCTGAATCACACTATCTTGAGATACCCAACACACAAAAATTAGGCCATTCACAAAACAAGTTTGTCATTTCCAATTTTTTACCGTTATCCTCAACCGGTGATGCCAAAAAGACAAATCTGTCTTTAATAGGTGAAACTCAAGAAGAGAAGCTTACTATTCCTATAGAAGATCCTAGACATCAGTTATGTAATGGGCAGTTGGAACACCAAAGAGGTGTGTCCCATCTATATTCTACAGATGAAAAATACACGCAGATGGAAAATATTAAGGACACTTCAAATGAAAATGGTTATAATGAACTCAAACAAGGACCACAGAGTGGAACAGACAGTGACACAGTTCAAACTTATCAAAGAATCGAAAGTTGGTCAAACCTTCCAGATAAGCTTATCATGCCATTGTTTGAAACATGCAAAGACCAAACCTTGGAATGTTTGGATTCATCCCACAAAGATGACACTTCTCGTTCAGCATCATTGATGCACCCGTCATCATCTGATTCAAATGCACAGTTAACTGAACAGAAAGTAACAACAGAACTTAAGAATGACTCTTCATTGAACTCTGAAGAACAAGGAGTAACAACAGAACTTAAGAATGACCCTTCATTGATACCCCACAATGGGATTGTGGTAGGAATAGACAATAGTAATATTTACATTGGTGCACAGGAATGTGCAAGCATGGTTAATCCTGGTGATCGCAAGAGGCATGTGCGACTCAAGTTACAGAATCTTGTCAGAATTCTGGAAAGAGAAAGAGCAAAAATGAGGGGATTTTCTTGTGGATCCAGTCCTCCTGCAACAGAACATGTCTGGGAAGTTTACAGGTAAGATTAAGGAATGGCGACTGAGAAAAACCTGAGTTAACCACCATCTGTCTTCACCAGTTTAGAACACCTGTGAGCTCTCAGTTTCAAGCCAAAAAAAATCCTCAAGTGTGAACTGAGATCCAGAGATATCTTTAAATAAGAATAGTGACAAATCACAGACACTGATGGCTACATATAGCTTTGTGTAGAACTCATCATCAAGGAGAATTTAGCCTGTGAACACGCTTTGCGGTTGAAGATGGGGCAATGAGAAAGCAGGGAGAAGGAAGAAAGAGGAGACAACAGAAATGAGGGGAGATGCCCAACCCCTACCACATTCCCCCTTGACCACTCCACTCTCGGCCAGTTCCTTCTCAGCCCTTCCAGCTGGAGCCTGTTCACAGGCTAGGGGGAATTTTGTGCCTCAAATCTTAGAGATCCTTGGGCATTCAGGGTCTACCAATCAAAGAGAGACTTGTTTACCTGCACTGTGTAGTTACTGTGCTAAAAATCTCCTTGTAGGCAACTGTGTTTAAATAACAAGTTCTCAAAGCATGTCTTTTTGCTTTTATAAATAGACGCTTAGGATACATTGTTGATCTCGAAGACAGAAGAGGAAAAGATGAGCAAAGGGTAGATGAGGGACTCCACTTGTGGATATACAAGGTAAATCTTTTGGTACATGAAATCCTGATAAATTACTGAGCCATTTAGACATTGCCATGTACCTAGCAGTCGCACATCTAAGCACTGTACTCAGTATAGCTGGCAAGACAGCATTTTTCCCAGACTCAAAGCATAGAAGATGAATACCTTAACAGTGGCTCGGACCTGTTCAACATTCTCCTAAAAAATTATGCTCACAGTACAGCTATAGCATAAAGAATGCATACTGTAGATATATCAGGTAAAGATCAAGCCAATCATGTTCTCAGCTGGCTGTAGAGCAAATGTGTGGTGGAGTGAATATTTTGAGCTTGCAAATAAAATGTTACAAGTGGCAGGGTTTGAAAAACCAGAGTTTTAGCTTGCCCTGCAGAGAAGCAACTCTCAAATTTTGCTTGTCCTGGGCAAGTTGTAATTTACTTTTGTTACAATTTAGTTGGTGATGACTTGCTCATCCGGTAAGGGAGAATTAAAAGTAACTTGTCCAGGATGATCAGACTGCCCTTTTTTCAAGCCCTGAAGTGGATCTTACTTGTTTCTTCACCAATCATTACATCAAACCCCTGACCATAATATGGTTTAATAATAATCATTATTAATAGATGGCATTGGTACAATCTAGGCTCTGTGTGAACTGCCTCCTGGGGTGCTAGTGTTAGCAACAGGAGATGGAATGAAGGGGAAGTCAGAATGCGACACCAGTTTTCCTAGATGTGCTGTGACAGCACTGGAGAGAGGCTGGAGTGTTGAAGTGTACTCATGGAAACACAGCTTGAGCAGCGAGTGGATCAAACTGACTAAGAAGCATCCTGACACATTGACAATCAACTATTTAGACAAGTAAGGTTACACTGTAGAATAATTAATTGGTAAATGTGCATTTCTAATGTATCAGTTTATAATTAATAACAATTAATAATATTCAAATCACAGATGTTATCCAAGAGATGATTTTTTTTTTGGGCAGGGGGGGGTTTGTGAAAATGACATTAGGACTACTACATCATAGTAACAGCTTCCCTGAAGGGCAAGCCAGAAAAATGGTTTCTTTGCACCTTGAGTTAGAAGAATAAATTAGTTTGAACTGCTGGTTTTTTAGCATAGAATTTGAATACGGTAGACATGAATACTAGTCATTTCCATTTGAGCTCAGTTTTTACAGCATGGCTGATTATAATTATTATTATTATGATTATTATTATTATTATTATTATTATTATTATCACTATCATTATCATTATCGTTATCATCATCGTTATTATTATTATTGTTATTACCTAGGATTTAACCAATGAAATGTTACAGTTTTTCATTACCCATAAACAGTTATTTATATTATTTACACTTTCCTTTGTATTCGTTCGTCTTCACAGGTATGTTAATTATATCACATTTGTGGATGGGAAACATGGAAGAAAGTGTTTACCTCTGCCACCAGAAGCAAGTGTCTTGCAAAGATGACCTGCATTAAAACANGGGGGGGGGGGGGGGGGGGGGGACCAAATGAAAAGGTCAGGGATGCATGTCAAAAAATTTGAATTACACCCCTAAAGAAGACCAATCTTGGCACGGCTCGAGTTTTTGTTTGACACCAAGAAGATACCACTTAAAACAGAACAGGCTCAATTACCAGCCTTTTATCAGGAAGGAAGCCCACACTAGTAGACTGGACTTGAGAGAACAGCAAAAATCAAGCTTAAAAACAGAAGTAGGAACAATTTTTTAGTATCATTTCTTGGAGTGCTCCCTAAAAGATACTTAAGCCCCCAAGCAAGACAATGAGCATTGCCATCCTTTTCATACGGGAGTCCCCCTAGGTGTTTACCCAAGGCAACTCTTTCTTTACCTCTGACTGAGAATCAATGTGACACTTGTTTTGATCTGACCAATATTCTAATAACTAAGTTTTTCAATAAACAATTAAGAATAAAAAGCAGCAATATTAAAGAATGATGTTTCGATGGCTCCATGCCATCATTCTCAAATTCAGATAACGTACCTTATTTGAATTTCAGAATGATCGCATGGAGCCGTTGAAACGTCATTCTTTAATATTGCTGCTTTTTATTCTTAACTGACCAATATTATTAATAAATTATTTGCCACACAAGTTTAAAGAAAAAGTAAATTAAGAGGTGTGGTGTAGTTCAGCAAATTCAAAGCTGTAAATGCTTATTAAATGACTAGATTCCAACAGTGGTGTCAAGAAAAGCCAAAGTTAAGCAGTGTTTACAAGTTATGCTATAGAACTGCTGTACATTTTGCTACATTGTACTTTAGGTTTGAGAGCATAAGTCTTTACAATACTTGCATCCTTTAGACAATTGTTAATAGCTTTGCAGGCTAGCTATTAAGAAGCACTCATCACACATTAACACTAATTTGTGATATCCATTTATTTTGAAGGTTGAAAGAAATTATTCATGTTATATACTTACATTAAGTATTAAGACAAAGTACCTGTAAGATATAGTTACTGTCAAATTGTATAAAATTATTTCATCTCGTCAAGGAAAGGTTTTATTGCATTAAGGACAGGTTTATCCTTACCAAGAGTATGTTGCATAATAAGATGTTTATTTTTTAAAAGTTTTAAGCATTCTTACATGTAAATGATGAGTATACTAGTACATAATAATTAGAATAAAATATGAGAAGTTCTCCAAGAGTTGCATTTGACTTGTTGAGTGGAAATAGGCTTTTTGGTCGAAATAAGACCACTGTCCTTTCTTAAAGCTTGCTGAATGGAGGGCAGGCACATTTGGGAATGGGGTGCTTAAATTTCCTTTTGAACATGCACATCCATTGCTTAACAAAAACACAGAAACTTAATTAACTCAAGAGTTGTTGTAATGAAAGGAGCTCTGTCAGCATACCCAGAAAGTAGTAGTGGATTCTATTCTTTGCTCAGCCAATGGGCAAGAAGAAATTTTAAATAAATAAGTGAGAATGTAAGAAATCTTTTGGGGCTAGTACATCAAAGCTACAGCTTGCTGAAAGGGCAAGCTTGAAAATTGGTTTTCTGTGCACCTAGTCTGATAATCGTGATGCTCAATATTTACAATGTGTGTTCAGATGAAAAAGCAGACTTCATAATAGGCCATTTCTGAAATACCTTTGGCCTCTTTCTCAAAACGAGTCTCGGTGTCCATACTTTCATATGAAAAGGAGACTTCATTCACATGCAAATTCAACTCATTTTTGTACCAATGGTTATGCACCAGGCCTTGCTTTAATAGAGAGGCTTAAGGCAACTCGGAAATGGGCTATTTATTTGTGTAATCAGTCTATTCCATATCAATGTATTGAATCTCACTTTTGCTGTGGGGAGCTAAGGCACACTAGAGTAGGGGTGCCTTTAAAACAGCTGCACTCAATAAGGAGCACTTATTAGAAGGGGGCACTTCTTGGAGGGAGGGTGCTAATCAAATCAATACAGCATGCCGCTCATTTTTGCAGAAAAGTTCCTTCTCTGATCACATCCTTAAAACGAGACAAGCTACTGCAAGTTCAAGACATAAAGAGATTCATTTCAAGGCAAATATTTATGAATATACATTGTACATCTACATTGTCCATTAATAAATTAAGAGTAAATAAAACAAAAAATTAACAGCAACTTGTACACTATAAATTGTCACAACTCTGACACAGAAAAGTGTCTTGTGAGACTGTTGGCCAGGAGAAAAAGCTGCATCTCTTAGACATTTTCATAGTAACAATAAAATTACTAACAGTAGAGCAGTGAGTCACTCTGGAATTCTCAATGAGTAAGAATTATACCAGCGGTGTGGTGTTATAATAAAAATAATAATTATTGTAATTATTATCACTATTTGAATATAAGTTATTTACTGTGTTGCCTTAGATTTTTTAGCTTTACTCTTTTCAGTCCTCTTGTCTCTTTTCTTTAGATTGTCCATATTAGCTTTCAATACATTTGCATATGCCTGGAAAAGAACAAGGAATGGATACAAATAGTTAATTTTCATTTGAGTTTATTTTTTTTTTGTAATATTAATATCATACTTTCCTTGCCATTTTATATAGTGGAGGTGGGGTGCCCTTGTCATAAGTGTGCTTTCCTGTCGATCGAGCAGTCTGGGTTGGAACCCTACCAGGGGACATTGTGTTGTGTTCTTAGGCAAGATGCTTTACTCTAACAGTGTCTCTCTTCACCAGATGTATAAATGGGTACAGGTGAATTTTATGCCGGGGGTAACCCTGCGATGNGGGGGGGGGGGGAGTAGAAATACTCCTAGTCACTTCATGCTGCAGAAATCTGGGATAAGCGCTGGCCCGATGGGCCACTTGGCTTAAAAGCACACTTAACATGTCATTTGCACCTAGTTAACATCATACTGGTAAGTTTGACATAAAAATGAAAACCCTGGGTTAGACACTCTTTGTTAACCCCCAAAAAGGGCCCACAAAATTTCTAACCCCAGAAAAATTCTTGAGATCATAAATTTCAAAGTCCAATTAATTTAAAATTATGACTTACCAGTTGAAACCTATTTACATCTTTTGCATTTACCTAAAAAAAAATACACAATTATGCATTAGGTATATATGTATGTGAGACCCATGTCTAGGTCAAAAAGTACCATATTGGAATATGCAATAGTATTATTACATATAATACTCCACTCAGTTAGTACGTGCACTGTGATTGGTCAATTTAGCAGGCCATACTCTTCTGTATGGCCCTCTGAAATTTAAAGTTGGTTTTGTTGCCAAACTGTTTCGTGGTTTATCGATAAGTGTTCTTAACTTTTATAGCAAGTGAAAGTTTAAAACTTTTTTATACTCTAAATTATGTAATAAAGCATGCTAACGACTTAAAAACAGTTTCAAACTGACTCGTTTTGCTTTCAAGATGCGTCAGGAATTTGAAGTCTTTCCGAGTCCGCGTGAATAGAAATTGTTTCCGAACACCTCAGGCACACTGTAGAGATATAATAAATATCTTACTAACCTCGTCTTCTCAGTCCATACTGTAAGTTACGGATCCTCGTTTTTTCCCCTTCGCTTTATGACCCACGCGCTTCGTGCTTGGGCCATAAATTGAAGGGGGGAAAACTCAGTCAGTAACTTACAGTACAGACCTCGAACTCGGTTAGTAAGAGGTATATAAAACAAAACCAAAACTACAAATAATGTTCATTGAAGCTGATTTATCTTACTATTGTACTAAGCTTCTTTTTTCCATTTGTTGCTCTAAATAGACATCTACTCTCTCCTTCTTGTTCAACCCCTGTTAACTTTTGCAGCTTCTTTGTACCTCGTGGTTTTGGCTTTGGCTTGGTCTGTCCGTGGTCTTTTAAAAACAAAGAAAAAATCATTTTTTTGCATGTTGATCCAGTCATTATTTTCTAAGGAAATTATTGTGTGGCACACCCCCACCCCTCAACCTTTATTCACTAGTTTATTCACCCCTTTATTTGCTAGTTCTTCCACCAGGCACTGACTGTTGCTAAACAAGGTGATTCTCCTGGCAAATTAATAGAATGTTCCGAAATCAAACTCAATCCATGGACCAAAGGTTGTACGAGTTCAATTTCTGAACCAATCGAACTCAAACCAAAACAAATCAAACCCAGTGGAACTCAATCCATAAGATTGTGTTTGATCGAGTTTGGCAACAGAACTCAGTCCCAACACAATCCAGTGGATTGCAATTGATCGTGTTGGGTCAAATATGTTCGCCTGATCAAAGATCATGTGGTGTGGTCTCAAATTGAAAAACACATGTTCTACCGAAGTAACTCAAGCCACAAAAAACATTGTTTTGATTTTCAACACTAGTTTTACAACAATCAAGAGTTTGAAAATCATCCATTTGATTGAGTTCGATTGCCCAATTATTTTTGTGTAAGTTTGATGTTGTTCAATTGCCAAAATCAATCAAACTCGATCTATGGATTGAGTTCAATTAACATTGGTTGAAATTCAGTTCAGTTGCACTTGATTGACTTTGCAAGGGATTCTAAACCTTTGAAGCTTGCAAATAAAAGTTCCCTAACATGAAGTTCTAACTTTTAATTCTGCCAATGAGACTCTATTGTGTAACCATTCAAACAGAAGCTACTGAGCAGTTCTTTCATGTCGTGCTGTTTATGATGCTATGCAAGGTGCTTCTAACTTTTAAGTCTGTGGATGAAACCCTAGTGTGTGACCATTCAAATGAAAGCTGTGGAGCAGTACTTTCGCATGGTACCCTTGCAGTCTGGGACGTAAAACTTTGTTGGTTCTAAGAAGTTAAACAGATCATAAACCAATTTCTCACTACTGCATCAAAGCCTACAATGCAGTAAAAGCGACCGTAAGTTACAGGCCACGAACGGTGTGTACCTGAACAGAACAATACTACTTGGTACGCACATTATCATTCTTTAGAGGCACGGAAGTACAGCTAAGAATGTCTGATCCTTCTATGTTTCTGAAGCCTCTTCACATGATAAAAAAGCAAAACAGGAACCGTTGCAAGTGCTAGATAAAAAATCGTAAAAACTTACATCTTTTCATTGTGATATTTACTGATCCCGAAGTTCTTGTCTTCTGAAGAAGATGTGTAAGCTGGGTGAGGAACTAAAACAAAACAACAACGCAAATAAGACAAACGGGCTTCATCTACAGCAAAAATTGCCATTAACAGCTGTATAAAGGACAAAATCCTTACCCCATCGTTGTCTAAAAGAACCATATTATTTCGATTCTCTCACATGTGTGAATCAGAGCTAAGTGACCAGGTCTTGTGCTAGGTGGCCAAGCCAAGTTGCTTCTTCCTCGTAGTGCCGCAGTCTTATCGCGGGCGATTGTGTAGTAGGAATAGAGAAGAGAAGAGAGAAGCAGAATCAGTTTAAAATGAGCTCTTTCTTCTTCACAAAGGTCCCACCAGAGGAACAAATGTACACAGACATCAAGTCACTCAATAAGTTCGACGAGAAGGCGTTTTGTCAACTTGTGGACATTGTGTTTTCGTTCCTTGTTTCTCCAAAGGAAGGGACAAGGTTCATGTCTCAAGTTTCTGAATTTGCTGGCGAACACGGAGTGAGCACAAACGCGTTAAAAAATGTTGTTAAAAGCTTACTTGGCTTCTTCAAGAGTGCGTTGAAAAGCAACTTGACACCGGCGCAAGTGAAGGAAGATTTGGAACATCTCGGTAAGACTGATCGTGATAAACATTGGAAAATAGAGTTGTGAGAGTGGGCTGGGGGGAGTGGGCTGGGTGGGGGAATGTGCAATGCAACCATTTTACAATAACTGCAGAAATTCTCACGCGCTCATTGGCTAATTTTCATTGTCAGTAAACGGACAGAACCATAAATTTATAACTTATGTGATGCATCAACAAGCGAGAGGGCAATTTGACAATTTGCTGTCATAGAAAACAAATTGACATCAGTTTTTAATGCATCTGTCCTGTACTGACAATGAATTTTGACATAACATTGTCAAAGTAGTCTACAGATTCACTCAGCTATGGCCTCGTGGATCCACATCTACTTTGACAGACGCATGAAAAACTGATGTCAATTTGTTAAATAGAAGGCAACCAACTTTCATTTATCACATAAAATGCGAATGCAACCTTCATTCCTCCAGAATAACCCCCCCACCCTCCCTCCTGGGAATGATCCATTGAGCACTTGGGGCTCTGTTTTACCTCACTCAAGAAATGTAACAATATTCAATATTTTGTCAAGATGAGAAAGCAGACTTCATACATATACATGTAGTTCATTTATTTTGACTGTTACTCTTGTTACAGGGGTGCTTATTAGAAAAGGGGCGCTTGTTAAAAAGTGCATTCAGTGGAGAGCACTTATAATAAAGGGGTGCTTATTGGAAGGACTGTGCTTAAATAAAATCATTACGGTTCTATGGTTACTAGCCTGAGTAGAAGTCCTACCTCTATAGCAGATCCACTCTACCCCCCGCCCTCCCACTCCCCTTTTCAAACAGCCACCACTATCCCTCATTTTTAAGTTCTCCCAAAAGCCATTATGAAATTGTTATAATCGCTGAGGGCTTAATGCTGGATTTACAGTATTTTTTCTTCCACAGGTCTCTCAGCTGAAAATTCTCCTCATGTCTCAGAGAGATGGAAAGCAAACCTCGTGGCTCTGTCACGCTCAGTTGTAGGTCAAACATTTATGGTTAACCAACTTGTTGACATGGAATGGAAATTTGGAGTGACAGCAGGAAGCAGCGACTTGAAAGTTGTGGGGCAGACTTTTTTGCAGTTAAAGATGGTTGTGGATCGTGGAGGCACACAGGAAGATGTGTTCATGGAATTGACTCTGCCACAGTTCTACTCATTCTTGCATGAGATGGAGAGGGCTAAATCAACACTTGAATATTTTAGTTGAGACAATAATATTATTGACTCTGGTAAAAAAAATTTAAAAAAGCAAAAATTGTAATGAGTTATTTTTTATATAGCTGGAATTAAGTGGAATCTCACGCACTCTTATTGGCTGATTGATGGTTGCGTGGCAATGGCTAAATCTAAATATTGCCTGGCAGGTAACAATTAAAGCAATTGTTGTGAGCTCTCCCACTAACCAGAGGTTACTTGGACTTCTTCTTGCCCTCTTGCTTCACACTAAACTCCAACTATGTAGCAAAACACTTAATTACTGTTCCCTTAGGAAACAGTTTTGTTTTCCCTCAAATCTAGATGTTTGAGGTTCTCAGAGAAACAAAACTGACTGTTTCCCTTAGGACCAGTAATGAAGTGTTTAGTAATTAGCATAGTGATATGAAGAACCAAGTGAATTAATGACACTCAATATTGTAGTTTTCAACATATAATAATCTTTTCAACCAAGTAAACCCCTTCAGCTTTCTAAAAGGTATATAGCTGTATGCAGAATTATTGTGAAAAAGAAATTATGATTTCTTATTACTCCAGTGTCATCAGTGTTCATTCTAAGTCAAGTGTGTTATTAGAGAGTTTAAGCATGACATTTACGGCAGACGGCAAACGGCAAAGATAACCTCTGATTTTTTATTCTTTTCTTCTAATCCTTAAATAAATCACACAAAAATAGAAAAAAAGTCTCCTACTATTCACTGCGAATGCAAATATTTTCACTCTACTGTACAAACAACTGAAGACAGACGGCAAAAGTTTCATTTTTGCTGTTTGCCGTTTGCCGTAAACGTCATGCTTAACCTCGCTATTAATAGAATATCAATGTTACATATCCATATATTTTATCATTTGCATTATTTTTACGTTGTGATTAATTTATCTTTTTTACTACCCATTCCCTGAAACATACTTATAATGAGTGCTTTGATATGCATCTGCAATTTGGTAATTATAATGGTGAGTTTTGTAGTGTGCAAATTTGCTTTCAAAGGGTGTACATCCTGTTGTGTTAAATTATAAGAGCAACTTCAATTATGCAAAAAAATAGCTCTCATGCATATCTGGTTCCCAGATAGAGCAGAGCAGAACCTGCAAATCTTCAGGCAGTGGTGGCCTGCCTGACATTCCTGACAAAATAATAAACCAGAACCAGTATTGAGTGAAAAAGATCTTCATCCTGGTTTGACTGTACGCATTCCTTCCAGTTCAGCAATCGTTTTTGAACGTGCATATAGAGAGTAACCACTGTGACAAATGTTGGCTGGTATTCTACCCAGATGTCTTGATTCTCAATGCTGACCAATGCTGACCAAGCGTGTTGCAGCCTCTGGCAATGAGATTACATGCATGAAGGGGCAATCATCATAATGTGCTGGTCAGCAATATTGGACCAGATCTTGTTAGGATTCTTCTCCAAGGAACACAGTACATTCCTGTTATCTTAGGTAACTCTAAAGCAATACATGATGGCTTCTTCTCTGGCTCCGTTATCTTTTTATCACTTATCTTCTTAACTTGCAAAGTCATCCAGAAATAGTTTTTCATGCTTTCTTGTCCTGGTGTCTTGTTCCTCTGATTTAGCTTTTTGTTTCCCTTTACTAGGAAAGCATGATTTCCTCTCCTCTGGTTTAGCTTTTTGTTTCTTTTCACCAGGGAAGCACGGTTTCCTCTCCTTCCATTGCATGTTCAGTAACAGCTTCCTCTCTTTGCTATGTCTGTCGGTCATTATCATGTACTTCATTCTGATGTTATTGTAAAATTCTGCAAGTAACTGGCTCATCTCTTGAACAAGCTTGTCTTTTCTGACAAGCATTTTTTTTAATTTCTTCATCTTCTACCGCAAAATGAAAGGAAATACTAAGTACTTACATGATAGGCCATTCTTGTATTCTCAGTATTGGATTAGAACTAGCTTGCAGGTGAATATCATTAAAAAGAGCGCATTAGCCTCAGTTGCAAGCTAGTTCCAGTCCAGTATCAAGAATATGAAAAAGGTCTATTTTCCCATTATGGTTGCCCCAGCAAACAGGCTCACTTATGGGTCACATGTGCAAGCGACATTATATGATCCAAGTGAGTCCAATTTTTTTCTTGTGGCTTAGTTGCTCGTATCTGAAAACCAAAGGGTATAATGTTTACAGGCTAACCATAGATGGTCAAGCAAGTCCATTTGAATGCCTGTAGCTAATTTTGTCCCATGTGCACAGCCAACAATGCAATTGTACGCTATCTTTTCTTTGTGCGTGTTGGTGTTTCTTTGTACGTGTCGCAGGCCTATAATATGTGACCTTACGCTCTGTACGTGCTGCGGACCTATGAGACTTTTCTTTCTCGTTACATGCAATTTAGGGGGAAAAAATCATACGTCTGCCGGGTTGTATGCAAGCAAATGCTAGTCCTGGTCAGACATGGAATGTAAAAGATGTACATTGAACATTATTTCTTACGAGGTTTGCGATATGAGGTTTACAATTCTGAAAGAGCACGATCGACTGACTAGAATTGATGTTGTTGACAAGGATGCTGCTGATGGTGGTGATGATGATGATGATGATGATGACGACGACGACGACGATCAGGATTATGATGTTCTTTATTATCATAATAATTTAGTATCACCTAACTAGTGGACTAATGCAAATCCTGCATTTTGATTGGCTACGCTACTAGGGGATTATTAGTAATAGTCCTCGAGTAGCGAAATTGGCGCAATCGAGCGTGACGCTTTCTTTCGTTTTATTCCCAAATAAATATTTCTTCAACTTGCATTTGCTAACTTTATTATTACCTTTTCTGTCCGACTAGTTGGGTGATACTAAAACAATTAGACCCTTCGCCCTTAAGGGCCACGGGTCTAATTGTTAAATAGTACATGTATACCTCGTTTATTCTTCCTGCTCCACTTGTAGAGTTCATATATTACCCCAAATAAAATGGCAGCAGCCAAAATGCTCGACAAAGTGATGATATCAGTTTGAAAGCCACTCTCTGAACTGTCGAACATTCCAGTTGCAACTTGCTCAGCTCTTGAAGTCTCAGTGTGCTAGAGCAGAAATTTACAAATTTACCACTGGGTAATGCCCCGTCCACACCACGCCGGGGAAATTTAAAAACAGCTTTATTTCTACGGTTAGGTCTACCGTCCACACTAAAACGGAGCTTTCGAAAACGCTCTTCAAACCTGAGGAATTTGGAAACGCCAGCTTTGCGTTTAAGTGTGGACGGAAAACCATTTGAAAACAGAGCATTTCGGAAACGATATCGTCCGTGATTGTTGCGTTTTCAAATCTCTGGCATAGCGTTGACGGAGCTACTGAGTAACTTCCTCATTTAGTGGTGTATCGAGCGAAAAACGCTCAAACACATCAGCTGGGACTGCCGATAACACAGCTAGCCTTCTTTCTGCTTTTCGTTTGTTTTTCGTTGTTTTTACTGCAAGATACTGACACTCCATGGATGGTTAAGTGGGTTTTTAATTAAAGGGGAGCGATGAGGTGCTAAACGCTAATTCGCTATTGTGTAAACTATGTGTGGATCCCCTTCCCAACAACACAGAACGTGTTATTGATATATATTCAACTGAAATTCACAGTGTTTAGCCATAACGAAGAAGACGTGGTGTCTCCTTCCTTTCCTCTGAATCACTGAACTGAAAAATGCGACTTCCAGTTTTTCGGTAATATCGCGTATGCTTGTACACATTTGTCGGACAATCTTTCTCGATCTTATACTCTCCTTGTGGTAGTACCTGAGTTCTTTATTTTTGCTTGCCATCTTTTTCGATCGTGAATTGGAAAAATTTTCTGCGTAGGACGCAGTTCCCTCTCGGCTGTCACTTTTGGCACCATGCAGGAAGAGCGGCAAACTGATAGGTGTTGAAAAAAAGAATCGCTTCAGGGGCGGATCAAGGACTTTTCAAGGGAATTGGCTAGTACCTAGGGGTTGCAGTATCAACGGGGCATGCCCCCCAAATGTTGCAATTTGAGAATTGGAACTTCAATGAAAACTCTTACATCAGAAGTACTAGCAATGCCAAAAAGTAGTGATAACAATGAGGTGTCTAGAGTGATTGCCTTTATTTCTGCCATAAGAGTCGCAGTCCCTTCAATTTGTTTTTACTTCTGCTTCTCCAAATGGGGGTGGCCGGCTAGCCACCCAATCCACCCCCTCCCTCCCCCAAAAAAAAACCCGCCCTGTAATTCTTCTACCAGAGCTCGTATCCTAATCGTACACCTCTACAGTATCGGTGTAGTTGTCCACTAGGCTTGTCAACAGTGACTTCTCATTCTTGAGATAATCCAGGAAACAGTGTTGTAGTCTGACAGAGTTTCCTCCAAGAACAATTCCAAACGACGATAGATAGTCAACCAACTGCAAAACATTTAAGCAAAATTTTATCACAATAACATTTTTGAAAATACTTCAATACTTTACGCGTTGGTGAAATTATAAACGAGTGCAGACCCTGGTCTTAGTCCACGTCCACACAACGGCAGAGGAATTTGAAAACGGAGCTTTATTTATTTTTCCGGTTAGGTCTTTCATCCACACTAACCTGTCACGAACAAGAACTTTTTCGAAAACGGTCTTTAAACCGGAGGAATTTGAAAACACCGGCTCAGCGTCTCAGCGTGGACAGAAAACATTTTGAAAACGGAGCTTTTCGAAAGTGAGGTTACGATAGTCATGATATTTTCCGAGTTTTCCTCTAACATAAACCCAAAACGACTGGTGATTGTTGTGTTTTCAAATTTTTCTGGCCTAGTGTGGACGAAAAACATTTGATGCGTTTTCGGAGTGAAACTTCCGTTTTTAAATTTGTCGGTGTGTAGACCCTGGTCTTATGTTCTTCAGTCAAAGTATAAACCATTATGTATTTTGGTGGATCAGGGCTACTACCTTAACTCGCGAAATAGAAACAATTACTGTGTGACAGTGTGTGGTGTGGAAAAACAGAGAGAAAAGAACAAAAAATATCAATTTTGTAGGAGAGCCACCAGTTGCCTTTTCAATGCGGTTTACCTCGTGAATTCCAAATGACTCGTGATGAAACAAATCATGCTCCGCTGCCACTACGTATGCGTCAATTAAGGCACCTTTCACCTCCCCTGAAAGGAGATCATCCCTTATCTCCTCGAGACGTGTGTAGTTACGGGCTGTTGGAGAAACGATGGAAATACCATTCTAATTGTGACTTAGAGAAAATAACGAGATTTCTTTTGAGAATAAAAGTAAGTACGATGACATCCAGAGTACTGTAAGGTAAAAGTAAAGTCTGCATGCGAGCCAAGTGGCTCATCAGGCCGGTACTTATCCCGGTTTCTGTAGCATGAAGCGATTAGGAGTATTTCTACTCCCCCCTGAATGGGATGCTAATCCATCGCCGGGTTTCCCCCAGCATTAAATTTCCCTGTACCAATATATGCACCTGGGTGGAGAGAGGCACTGTAAGAGTAAAGTCTCTTTCCCAAGAACACAACACAATGACCCCAGCCAGGACTACAACCCAGACCCTCGATCCGGAGGCGAGC